CCTTAGCGTCAAAGTTGTTGGTGACCTGGTTAACCACCAATTGGGAGTCATTGAAGATATCAATTCGTTTAACCCTAAGATGTTTAGCCAAATGTAAGCCTGCTAGGAGGGCTTCATATTCGGTCTCATTGTTCGATGCCTTAAATTTGAAACGAAGAGCATACTCCATCACCACTTTGTCAGGGGTCGTAAGGACTAATCATGTTCCGCAACCCTGTTAGTTGGACGAGCCATCAACATATAAACTCCATGCTGGGGTTATTGGTTCTATTTTCGGAGCTTCCGAGGGTAATGAAACCACTTCTTTAGGCGTAGAAACAAGGTCAACAAGATATGTGAAGTCGGCGATGAAGTCTGCCACTGCTTGGCCCTTCTCAGCTGGTTTTGGTTGGTAGAAGATGTCAAACTCACCCAATGTTATCGCCCATTTGATCATTCGCCCGGAAGTGTCAGAACTTTGGAGTATCTGTCGAAGAGGATGATTGGTAAGCACGATGATGGAGTGTGCTTGGAAGTAAAGGCGAAGTTTTCGAGCAGACATGACCAATGTTAGAGCCAATTTCTCAATGTTGGAGTATCGTGTCTCCGCATCTTGTAAGGCCTTACTAGCGTAGTAGACAGGTCGTTTGACATTACCATCCTTTCGAATGTGAATGGAACTTACTGCTGAAGCCGATATTGACAGATAGATAATAAGAGTGTCACCAACCTCAGGTTTGGAAAGCAGATGGGCTTTACTCATGTAGTCTTTGAGGTTCTTGAATGCCTCAGCACATTCATCAGTTCATGTAATGTACTTCTTACTTCCCTTAAGTGCTTTGAAGAAAGGAGTACATCTGTCTGTGGCCTTAGAGATGAACCTAGTTAAGGCAGCCACCTTGCCAGTAAGGCTTTGGATGTCTTTTGAAGTTACCAGTTCCTTCATGTCGAGGATTGCTTTGATCTTCTCGGGATTAGCCTCAATGCCTCGTTGGCTTATCATAAAACCTAAGAATTTGCCAGAGCCTACGCCGAAGGCACATATGTTGAGGTTCAACCTCATTCGATACCTCTTCAGAATGGTGAAAGTTTCAGATAGGTTGGTGATGTGTTGGTCAGCATGTTTGATCTTGACTAGCATATCATCAACGTAAACTTTATGTTCTTCCCAATCTGTTCAGCGAACATTGAATTGACCAGTCTCTGATAAGTCGTTTCTGCATTCTTTAAGCCGAAAGGCATGACTTTATAGCAATATAGTCCCCTGTCAGTAGTGAAGGCTGTGTGTTCTTAGTCCGAATGGCTCATGAGGATTTAGTTGTATCCTGAGTAAGCATCCATGAAGCTCAAGAGTTCACACCCTGCCGTAGTGTCTATAAGTCTGTCTATGAGAGGAAGAGGAAAGCTATCATTCGGGCATCCTTTGTTTAGGTCGGCGTAATCAACACACATTCTCCACAAGACCTTTTGGAGCAGGAGACTTTCTTTGGTCGGATTCTTCTTAACAAGGACAACATTTCCTACCCACGTTGGATAATTGACTTTGCGAACGAAGCTTATGCCTTTAAGTTTTTCAACTTCTGCCTTCATTGCCTCGTACCGTTCAGCGTCATAGGATCTTTGCTTCTGTCTCACTGGCTTAGTCTTGGAGTCAATACTTAAGCGATGAAATACGATATCAGGAGAGATGTTTGGCATGTCCTCGTATGACCAGGCGAAGACCTTAGTGTTCTCTTGAAAAAAAGAGATCAATGCCAACTGAATGGGTGGTGACAAGGTGGTGCCAATCTTAACCATGCAATCTAGATAATCTTTTGAGATAAAGACCTTCTCCAACTCTTCAGCGAGTTGTGCTTGCTGAGTGAAAGAGTCATCTTGAGGATCGTCGGGTTGACTATTGCCACCGTGAAGATCCAAGTTGCCTTCGTCTGGGCTGGTCTTTATGACTTTGTCATGTATAGAAAGGGTTTCCTTAGGCACAGGCAGGTGATGTTGCTTGACCGAAGTGTTGTAACATGATCGTGCACTAAGTTAATCTCATCTGATGTAACCATTGCCATAGGGGGATGGAAATTTCATCAACAACATATGTGTGGATACCATAGCCTTGAGATCATTGATGCCTGTACGTCCGAAGATGACATTGTATGCCGTTGGGCAATCAACCACCAGGAAGTTAGTGGTAATGGTAGCTGTGTAAAGGCATGTACTAATGGTGAAAGGTAAATGTATGCTCCCCAAAGGTTACACGATATCACCGGAAGAGTTTATCGGATGAGAAATCGAGCGATCGAGCAAGTGTTCAGCTACAATAAGTGCCTTGAAAGCTTCATCAAACATGATATTGACCGAAGCCCCCGTGTCTACCAGGATTCGTCGTACTTCAAAGTTGGCTATGTGAGCTTCCACGATCAGTGGGTCGTTGTGAGGGTAGATGATACCTCTTTCTTCCTCATGGTAGAAACATAATGGATCCTAGTTAGGTTTTTTATACTTGCCTCCCTTGATGTTTTCCACGTGAAACACTTGGTGGCCAGACCTTAAAGCTCATTCACTATTTTTCATGGCCCTGTTGGAAGATTTAGATATAGGTGTGCCACCACTTATGGAATATATCACATTCACCTGGCGTTGGTTACGGTTACCCCTTGGAGGGTGAAAGAGGAATTGATCAATTTTTCCTTCACGTGCCAAAGTTTCAAAATGATCACGAAGGGTGATACACTTCTCACCGTCATGGCCGTTATGCTCATGGTAGCTGCAAAATATGCCTGTGTTCTTTGTGTGCTTGTAACCCGACTGCCTCGGCATTGGCTTCGGTATCAAGTGTGCTATGCTGGGGTAAATGGCCACGCATGTGGCGTTCAAAGGTGTGTATGTCTCATACCTCGGGGTAGGGCTTGTCCTGACACATGTTTGGCCCACTGTGTTGACTGCCTGAAGACGGGCATTATTGTGGCGATACCCTTGGTTATTGCAATAGTGTCCCTTACTCCTTTTACTAAAATGAGACTGGTGAGGATGGAAATCTTTTCTATTGCCATGAGATTGATATGTCTGTTGACTTAGCAAAGTATTAAGTAAGGCAGAAGGAGGCACCGCTGCCGTTTGGAAAGTCGAGATCTTTTCATTTAGTTGGATCTGGCTTCCACTCCCTACTTGCTGATAAGGGGTGGCTGTGGGGAGTTTCCCTTGATATGTCATTGCCTCGGCGGAGGCATGGTTATAAGCCTAGGCCATCACCTCAGAGTAAGTCTTCCAAATGTTGGCATTGATCATGTACTTAAAGAAACAGTCACGTAAACCTGCCGTGAAGGCTCTGAGGGCAGTCTTGTCGTCTGCCTTGGCATAACGGGAATACTCATGGCTGAAGCGGCTAGCATACATACGCAATGACTCGTCTGGCTTCTGGCGAATAGTGTACAAGTCATCCTCATAGTGCAAACAATCGGTCTGGAAAATGTGTTGAGAAACAAACAGTTTCCTCAATTCTTCAAATGAGTCTACCGTTTCAGGTGGAAGACGGCAATACCAGTTTAGAGCTCCACCAGAGAGGGTAGAGGGGAAGATAAGACATCGTTTTTCGTCGGTGTGCATCTGGAATGCCATGGTGGACTCAAAAAGGTTAAGGTGTTCAATCGGGTCCTCTTTTCCAGTATAGAGTTGCAAGCCAAGCTTTTGCTTTGTTTTTGGAAATCTCGACGTTGCTTTAGGAAATCTCGACAGTCGCGAAAGACGGCTTTCGATCCTTCCACTCCTTCTGTAAGGAGGTGTCTTCCTCCACTTCTCCTACTTCAGGTCGAAGCAACTAGGTTGAGAGAAGTCTCATGTTGATCAATGTTTTGATGATTAACTCGCTCCTCATCAGGGATACCCATGTCGAAAGAAGGTGACCCTCCGTGTTAGGAGGCACCCAGATGATGGTTGATGTCCACAGGGGTAATGAGCTCACGTGTTTGAGTACGCCTAGTTTCGTGGACGTGTCAAAGAGCTTCTCATACTGCTCTTGGAGGACTTCATTCTTCATTGCTATCTTGTTGTTCTGAGCTTCTAGCTCATCGACTTTAGCTTGAAGAGCAACCTTTTTTCCTTCCTTCTTTCGTTGCCTCGCACCAGGGGCAAGAGGGGTGTCATTCTGTGTGTTGTGGCTTCATTCGCTCCCCATGTTGGAGAGAGATGCCTGGTAAAAAGAGAGTGTACGAATGGTGGAAACCAGCTTAACAAAGCTGAAGAGAGTGGGAATAATTGTCGTTCCCACAGACGGCGCCAAATGTTAATGCACAAAATCAGTGAGGACTTTGGTACAACAGAAAATGTCAAGTTTGTGACCTTCGCTAGATTGCTCCGGTCACTAGTGTGGATAAGTATGTAAATGGATAGAGACAGGGAAGCAAACACAAGATGTACGTGGTTCACCCAGATTGGCTAAGTCCACGGAGTAGAGAAGTTCTCATTAATTGTGAAGGGTTTACACAAATGCATAGGTTCAAGCTCTCCTTTATTGAGTACAAGTGAATGATTTAGTACAAATGACATTATGAAATATTGTGAGAGAATGATCTCTATTTATAGAAGAGAGTTTCTAGTTTCATTCTGACATTGACACGTGTCGTGTTGTGATTAGCTTCTGATGTTGACACGTGTCGTGTTGTGATTGGCTTCTGATGTTGACACGTGTCGCGCTATGATTGGCTTCTGATGTCGACATGTGTCGCGCTATGATTAGCCTCCTAGTTGGAGGGAAACTTTTCTGGGTCCTTGACGGTATAACATTGAACGATGCTCAGTAGTTTCGGAATTGGTCAAGTATGGTACAACAAATACACATATATGATGGGCCAACCATTAACCCTAGAAAATTCTGGTCAAAATTTGTCTCAAAAATGAGTTTTGGGTTAAAAATTATATTTGACCCAAGGATTAAAGTAAATTAGAAGAGATTTACAACTTAATATTTGAATTTTATAGTATGTATCAAAAAAATAAAATATAAAAATGTAAATTAAAATTGTAAAACCAGACATACCTTTGCTTCACCTGTTGCTCCAGAGAAGCCATAAACCCTCCCTTCTTTCATGACGCCATAGGGTTTTGGTACCTTACATTGTTTATCAAAACCCCACGCTGTTCTCTTTGTTTAGAGCGTACTGAAGCGAAGCGGAACCAAATTAGGTTTTTTTTTTCCCTTCAGATTTTTGAGTTTTGCACTACGATTTCTTAGTTTCTCAATTCACTTTTTCTTCTGATGTGAGTTGCTCAAAAGTTGGTAAGTTCTCACTGTCAATGTTCAGATGTTAGTGGACTAGATTTTATTAGACTTGGGATAATCACATGATTAGAGTTGGGATTTTTGTTCCAATTATTTGGGGATTGGGAATTGGGGATTTCAATTTATTGCTTTGATATTGTATAGGCTTAATTCCTGTGCCATTTACAGATGATTTGGATACAAATGCAGGCCCGCATTTGACACCAAGTGCTAGAAATTATCCAGTCCTGTGCTTCTACAAGGAAATACAAAGTAGCACATATGAAGTTGTCAAGGGAAGATATGTACCTGCAGCCGCTGTAAAACCCGAAAGCAAGCTGAAGGTATTTCTCGTTGGTATCAGTATTTATTTGGTCTCATAACCAGAAAATCTCAGTTTGGTAAAAAGAAATGGTAACTATTATATGGTAACCATCATTTAGGTTCAGATGTGATGAAGGTTGATTTTGTTGGTTATCTTTTATTAGCATAAATGGGGAAATTTATGGGGCTTTTGTTCAGCAATTCATCTTCATTGCTAATCGGGTTAAATAGTAAACATTCAAGTTTTGCAGTCCCTAAGTTATCTTGTTATGTCAAACAGTTATTCTAGTTAATACTGAAGTCAACTTATGAACGGTACACGAAAGGAACTTAAAGGGTGATTATTTAGGTCGATGTTATACGAGTCCATCTGGCTGTCCCATAGTCTGCAAATCTTAGTAATAATAAAAAGAAATGGTAACTATGCTAAGTTAACCATGATTTAGGTTCACATGTGATGAAAGTTGATTTTGTTGATTATCTTTTAGCATAAGTGGGGAAATTTATGAGTCTTTTGTACAGAAATTTATCTTCATTGCTAATCAGCCTTAAATAGTAAAAATTCAAGTTTTGTAGTCCCTAAGATATCTTGTTATGTCAAACAGTTATCCTAGCTAATACTGAAGTCAATTTATGAACACATGAAAGGAACGTAAAGGGTGATTATTTAGGTCGATATTATACTAGTTCATTTCGCTCTCCCTCTCACGCTCTCTCTATATGTGCGACTTGCCAGTCTATGTTACTCTTTTTTTTTTCATGAAAAAGGTTGTGTTTTGTATATGAAAAATTGTTTAACTAGGGGAGAGCCAGACCTGAAGAAAAACCTGGGATCTGGATGATATCAAAACCTTATGAAACTGAAATAGGCAAGGCAGGACGACTACAGTTTCACTGTTTCCATTACATGTGCTCTCCTTTTCTTTATTATTTATTACTGAAATTTGCAGACTACAGGATTCGTTCAAGTTAATTAATAGCTTTTCTCTCTTTCTCATTTTCTATTTAAATCTGTTAACGTTTATATATATATATATATATATATATATATATATATATATATATATATATATTACAGCTATATAAGTACTTAGTGTTGCCATCTTCTTATGAAATGTATTTTTTTTTACAGGATTCATATCACTTTTCCTTGCTTTGGACGTGGTTTTGTTTATGATTTCTTGTCTTAAAAATTTTAAGTAGTGTCCAGGTTAGTGGGCTTCTATGTATTTATTAAAGTTCTTGGCTTTTAAGGTTGTAATCAGAGATGCATATTGGGGGAGCATATGGGTAAATGGGGAGCATATGGGTAAATGCCATGTCCATTTGACTTGTTTCTAAATATAAGGGTAAATATCTTATATTTGTCTTGGATCTTATTAACTAAAAACATTTGGGTTGTGGCTAACTCAACCATGGATACTTACTGTTGGCTGCCAGGAAGATTTTTTGCGCTGTTTTTAGTCTCATTTGGTGTTTTATATGTTGTTAATTTTCATTATTATTTTTTATCTAGTGTTAGTGCTTATAGATGATATGGATAAGAGTTCGATGCAAATTCAAAAGAGGCAAGACACGATGTATGAGGAAGGAGTTGAATAAGTTCCTAAATTTTGGGTCTGGTAATACAATAATGTATTGTAACACTGCTTCTCTGCACCTCCATGTCATGGTTGGCCGATGATGAAGAAAAAGCAATATGTAATGGTATTTAAACATAAAAGTATCAAGTGTGGGAAGTAAATTTTCCGTTCTGTTTATTGAATAGTGAGATATCAATGTTATATTTAGTGGAATAACCGCCATACTCTGGAGTGCTGCCTTTTGTTTTATAGGTTTGGTCATGTAAGATTAATTCTCATTGTGTAATTAATGAAATTTACCTTGGTTCATTGCTTTGGTATACACACTCACACATATATATTAAGTTATTAACGGTCGTTGTTGTTCGTTTTAACACTTATGCTGTCGGGTTTTCTTGAAAAATGAGCATTCTTATTTTTTATTTTTACGTACCGTGAGAATGCTATTTGTTTGGTTAATCTGTTGAACATTTTTGTTTTAAGGCATATTTGTTTGCTGGAACAGAACTTTGGATGTGCGTAAATGAATCTTAAGGTGTTACCAGTTCATAACAAATTTTGATGCAGCTGGGTTGTATTTGATTATACATTGACTTGAGGGAATCCTTTTGTACAGGTTGTTGGGTTGCAGAAATGAGAGTTGAAATTGAAACAACTGGTGGACTTTTTCTGGCAGAAAGTTTGTATCTACACACGTCCATAGTCCATATTGATGAACCGATGTAATCTAATGAAGAGACATATTTTGGGAAGTCGATCCAAGGCTTTGCTGTTTCTGTACAACTACAACAATACTGCCGCTGCTGTTGGCATTCAAAAACTCTTCTCGTTATCGGCACGGTTTGGGACATTGTCTGCAACTCGGGCTTCATGCGCCAAACTAATTGGGGATGAAGACTCTGAAACTTCAGAAGACGAAGACTGGTTTCCTTCTCGTATCATCCAAGACAAGGACCTTCTCCGCAGCAGCCCCCATATTTCAGGAACAGGGCTTCATGTTCTTGACTTGGTGAATTGTGGTTCTTTGGAAGCAGACCGGACTCTGTACAATAAGCTGCTACACCGGTGCACCCAGACGGCCCAACTTAAACAAGCCAGAATTGTGCATTCACACATCCTTACTTCTCAATTTAAAGATGACCTTCCCATCCGCAACACCATCCTTCACATGTATGTCAAATGTGGCAGTTTGGACGATGCTCGCAACCTGTTCAATCAAATGCCTCACAAGGATTTGGTCACTTGGACTGCCTTGATTTCTGGCTATTCTCAACATGATCGACCTCAGGATGCCCTTGTTTTGTTTCCTGAGATGCTCCGCCATGGGCTGGAACCCAACCAGTTCACCTTGTCTAGCTTGTTGAAAGCTTCTGGCGCTGTCTCTGATGACAATCATGGCAGGCAGCTTCACACTTATTGCTTTAAGTACGGTCTTGATTCCAATGTCTATGTGGGCACTGCTCTTGTGGACATGTATGCTAGGTGTGGTCATATGGATGAATCCCAATTGGTCTTTGACGCCTTGGACACCAAGAATGAGGTGTCCTGGAATGCTTTGATTGCTGGGCATGCTAGGAAGGCTCAAGGAGAGCATGCACTCAGGTTGTTCTGGAAGATGCTGAGGGAGGGCTTCAAACCTACGCATTTCACTTATTCTAGCGTCTTGACTGCTTGTGCTAGTGCAGGGTCTCTAGAGCAAGGGAAGTGGGTTCACGCCCACATGATCAAATCAGTTGTTACCCTCGTCGCTTTTGTGGGGAATACTCTTCTCGATATGTATGCCAAATCAGGCAGCATTGAGGATGCAAAAAAGGTTTTTGATAGGATGGTTAGACGAGACGTCGTTTCTTGGAATTCGATGCTTACTGGATATGCCCAGCATGGGTTTGGAAAGGAAACTGTGCAACGGTTTGAAGAAATGCTGAGAATTGGAATCCAACCTAATGATATAACCTTTCTTTGTGTTCTTACTGCCTGTAGCCATGCCGGTCTCTTGGATGAAGGACAATATTATTTTGACTTGATGAAACAGTACAACATAGAACCACAGGTTTCACACTATGTGACGATTGTTGATCTTCTTGGTCGTGGAAATCTGCTTGATCGAGCTGAGAAGTTCATAAGAGAAATGCCGATTGAACCCACTGCAGCTGTTTGGGGAGCCTTATTAGGTGCTTGCAGGATGCACAAGAACATAGAGTTGGGTGCTTATGCTGCGGAACGTAGTTTTGAGCTGGATCCCCATGATTCAGGGCCCCATGTCATACTTTCTAATATCTATGCCTCTGCTGGCAGATGGATTGACGCAGCAAAGGTGAGGAAGATGATGAAAGAGGGTGGGGTGAAAAAGGAACCTGCTTGTAGCTGGGTGGACATCGAGAATGCGGTCCACATGTTTGTAGCGAACGATGATGCTCATCCGCAAAGGGTAGAGATCCTTAGGATGTGGGAGATGATTAGCATGAAGATAAAGGAGGTTGGATACGTCCCAGACACTAGCCACGTACTTTTCTATGTAGACCAGCAGGAGAGGGAAGTCAAGTTGCAGTACCATAGTGAGAAGCTTGCTCTAGCATTTGCGGTTCTTAACACTCCTCCTGGCTCCACCATACGGATTAAGAAGAACATCAGGGTTTGTGGTGATTGTCATTCAGCAATCAAGTTCGTTTCGAAGGTAGAAGGGAGAGAAATCATTGTGAGGGACACCAATCGGTTCCATCATTTCCGTGATGGCTCTTGTTCTTGTGGGGACTATTGGTAGTGCTAATTTTATGGTCCTAGTTGCATTGCGTACAAAATTAACCCATTACCTGGCTGTTCATGTTCGAGTCCCCTGTGTTTTACATGCTTGTGATCTATGATGAAACAAGCTTCCTCTTTAAAGTGAGAAGAGGAATTTGAGACTTCTACACACACAAATTGTAAAATGGTTATTGCCAATTGTGCCTTCCGGAAGCAACTTCAAGTTCAAGGTAGCGAAATGTTATTTGCGCAGTTGTTACCTCATGGGCTATGCTAGGAAAAATGTGTGCCGAAATGCTGTGAATTATGAACACCAAAAATAGACGACACAGAGACAAAAAGGTTAGATGCAAGTTTTTTTTTTTTTTTTTTTCTGGTGTATTGAAGATCATGAATACTACCTGACGACATGTAAGGTTTCTGCATACGGTGAGCTCTGAAGGGCAACAACCGACGAAGGGCCCTGTTAAAGATTGAATTTATATCCTATTTTACAACTAAGATATGCAGAATTTCTATGTTTCTTCTCTTGAATACAATTGAGGATGAACATTTTATTTCTTGAATTCAACTGTGGATACCTTCACTCCTTTTCTAATCCTACAGAGAGTCAGTTCAATTTCTTTGTTAGATGGAGATCAGGATCTGCTCTGAGTTAATACCTAGTTTTGTTAGACAATAAAATAGAATGAACTTGATTGCTTTTGCATCTTTTTGGCTTTTTCTGAACGAAATTGTACAACATGGCAAAACTAGTGGAGACAAAAAGAGGAAGAAACAGCAAGGTAGAAAAAGATTGGATCTGCTGATTGCCTGTGGTATTTGGAAAGTTGGAAACTGAAAAAATAGAGAGGCAAGAAAGAAAGGAACAGAGCACAAAAGGAGGAACTAACCCAACCCAATTCTTGCAAAGGGGGAGAGATGGGCAGGTAAAAAGGGTGATGGAAGTGTGCATGTGTTTACGTGTGCTTAGAGATGGTTTAGCTGAAAATTGCATAGCGTGTGAGCAAAACTCTTTTGTAATCACCATTCTTCTTAAGCCAGCAGATGTTACATTCATTTAACAACAACTCAGATATACAAACTGCCTCAACCTCAGCATCACCCTCAGCCTAAGCCCAATATACAGGTACGTAATGAATGACATGTTTCGATAAGTAGCGCTAGCATTTGCATGACACATTGATAGATTTGATGTTCAAAGTTTCAGCATTACCACCAGGTCGGACTTGCTCTTTAATACCACTTCAATTCAATCTTTGAATCTCAAGGTCACACTTTTTGAGGTTCATCTTTTTCCTGCATTCAGCTCATGCATTCGCTTTATATATTTTCAAAATTTCTGTATATATACGTATGTTTCCTTTCTACTTTTAAATTAAGCATCCAGCTAATAATTTGACCTGTAACCTAGCCACCTGATTTTAATTAGCATGTGTCCTTGCTCAGAATCAACTTCAAACTTTAAGTTGTGTGAAAAATTTCCTAGCATGTTTTTATTTTTTTTGTCAAAGTATCTTGATAGTAATTTATATGTACGTAATTTTTCATTCGCAGGGAGGGTTTCGTTAAAAATCATGGAGTGTGACAGCGAACAGAGAGTAAGAGAAGGAGATGAAGACAACAACAATTCTTCTTCTTCTTATTCTTCATTAGAGAAGCATGCAAAGAAGAATTAAGTTGATCCTAACTGCGGTATGTTGGACTTAAAAAACAACCTTGAATACAACAGCAACAGCAGCAGCACTAGTAGTACTAGTAGCAGTGATACAATATCGGCTTCAGAAACCCACTTGGCATTAGGAGTATTTGATTTTCCGTGGCTGAAAGATGGTGTAATCTCCAAACCGGAGGACTTGAATTTTGAAGGGACATTTTAAAGGGAGAAGGATTGTCTGCCCTCCCGTGCCCTCCTGTTTGTGTGGTCACGGTTAAACCACGTCAACATTTTATATTACTATTTATTTTTGTTTTATTATCAATATAAAATGTTGACGTGGCTTAACCGTGACCACACAAAACAAGAGGGCACGGGAGGGCGCTGGAAATGGGAGGGCAGACAATCCTTGTCCATTTTGAAGACGTGTTCTCATCACCATTGGCAGTACTGGATGTCGACACACTCCCCTTTACCACCAGTAAGGTGGTACTACTACTACTCCTGGACATGTTATTGATGATCAATTTTCTTTCTCCGGGCGGTGTTTCTATCATCATCACCAGACTGATCATCCTGATGCACTACTCCTAGACTTTATAAAGGACAAGCTTGAGGAAGATTTGGAGCGACTGTGATATCTTAATCAAGGTGGTGGCCTGGAGACTGAAGCCGGTGTGGTGGCCTCTAGTAAAAAAATTATGAACTGTCTATGTATTTACTATAATTAAGGGACTAAACAACCTTGTTTTCAATAGATTTTTTATAGAAATGATCTTTACTAAATGATTTATAATGTAAACAGTTCCGATAAAAAGTACGGAGTTCCATAAATCAATTATAAAGTATCTTGAGGAAAACTCCTCAATTTTAAAGAGTCAAACCTCCTCTCTTTACAGTTGACCAAGAAACAGCAACAGAGCAATTTTTGGTGGAATAAGCATATAAATAAATGGAAATGCACCTTAAAATTATTTATGAAACAAACAATGTGTAAAACACGCTATACACGTGATGATATGGAGATGGTGCTTTTTCATCTGGTTCAAAACTTTTTATAAAGTTTATATATTAATGAGGCATACTAATAAGTTAAAAACCTTGTTAAAATATTATATTATTTGTTCAAAATACAACCAAACTTATTAAATACAACACATATGCCACAACAGTTTAACATAATGTCTATTCATAGATGCATTTTATTTCTTATATTTTCTTATCAATTATTTCTAGGTTTTGTTAAGGAAAGGATTTTAAAAGAGTTCCTCCACTCGCATTTTCTCAATTTCGCCCATCTGCGCACTTGAGATGTTTTTTTTTTTTAATAAATCAACTTTCCGGACGAGTTTTGGCCTAAGGCCAATGGAATTTTCCATGAATCTGTTTGTAAATAAAACACAAAATAAATATTTAGTAGACATTTAAAGAATTTCATTTCATATAATTCAATAACAAAGGCTAAAAAAAAGTGTATACTCACGGAGAATTTTAAACATAATTAGTGCTTTATCATTTCCCTCAAGCACGCTTTATCATGAATAAATGATATCCATTCTCGTATACCGTTGTGATCTCTCTATATCTCTTTGATATGCTGGTACAAAAATAAGTTCATCAGAAGCAACCTGTGCCATTGATTATCATATCGACTTTCAAACAGTAACATATTAGATATTTATCAATATTTACCCAACTAAAATAAATAATATATAATATAAAAACCTACTCCTGAAAGGTGAACCAGTAGTATGAATCTTTAGTCCAGCTTTGAACAAAACATGGAACACGTCATCCTTTACTTTTTCTTGTCCAATAGGTAAGTTGCATAAAAACTCAAATTCAATTACATAACACTTCCACCATATTTGTTTTTCTAAGTAATTGGTTGTAGTCAGTCTGAAATTTCTTTGATACTTTCGCCATTATTTTTCTAAGTAATCATTTTAAAAGTGACAGATTTTGTTGATATTTTTGACCAATTGGTTAAATATTGAAAAAATTATTATATTTCGTACAAACTAGTGTTTGACATTCCCTCAAGTTTAATTTTAAAGTTTCATGTTTTCCATCGCAAGGAGCCGATATTGAAACCGATAATCCATCGATATTTCTGCAAATTTGTTTATCTATATTTTTACCGATACGGATATTTTAAACATTGGTTGTAGTTAAAAAGCTGGATCTCATACAAAAGACCCCTTCGGTCATTTTGAAATATTTCATTTGAGGGATGTATGGACAACAAGAAGAATTGTTTTGGCAGCTCATAGCATGCTCGATTTCAGGAAAATAACTAAAATGATGTCCGAACCCAGCATATTAAACAACAATATAGAAAACTATCGGTTTCGACAAAAATAAAAAACTATCAGTATTAAAAATTAAAAAGAACTTATGCATTAAACACGAAAGGAAAATTAGTTTAAAACTTATATTTGCACAGTAGGTGTAAACCTCAAATGATTTCCTTCAATTTTTATGTATATGTAAGGGCACAGTGGATTACATTTTTATTGGATGGTGTGCCCTGGGGTTTGTGTTTCCAATTCTAACTCATCAATAAGTTCATCTACCTCCAAAACTTTCCCTGCAAAAGTTGCCAATGATTCATTTTAAATTTTTATGTTTTCCATGAAAAGTAGCCGATATCGAAATCAATAATGTATTGATATTTAACAAATTTGTATATTAATATTTTTACTGATACTGATATTTTAAACATTGATTGCAGTAAAAGCGTTGGATCCCATACGAAAGACCCCTTCGGTCATTTTGAAATATTTCATTCAAGGGATGTATGAATAAAACAAGAATTGTTTTGGCAGCCCATAACATGCTCAATTTCAGGAAAATAATTAAAGTGATGTCCTGTGTAATCCTTCATATTAAACAATAATATACAAAATAATCGGTTTCAACAAAAAAAAAAAAAACAACTATCAGTATTAAGAATTAAAAAGAACTTATGCATTAAACGGAAGGAAAATTAGTTTAAAACTTATATTTGCAATGTAAACCTCAAATGATTTCCTTCAATTTTTTCTGTATATTTACAGGCATAAAGTTTCCTTCAATTCGTCCAAACTAGTGTTTGACATTCCCTAAAGTTTCATTTTAAATTTTTCATGTTTTCCATCGAAAGCAACTGATATCGAAATCTATATGGATTTATCCATCAATATTTCTACAAATTTGTATATCGATATTTCCACCGATACATATATTTTAAACACTGGTTGCAGTAAAAGCATTGGATCCCATATAAAAGACCCATTTGGTCATTTTGAAATATTTCATTCGAGGGATGTATGGACAACAACAAGAATTATTTTGGCAGTTCATAACATACTTGACTCCAGGAAAATAACTAAAATGGTGTCCTGTGTAATCCTGCATATTAAACAATAATATAGAAAATTATTAGTATTAAAAATTAGGGTTAATCTCTGTTTACTACCCTAAAGTTTTGTGGTTTTCAACATTTGGTACATGAAGTTTTTTTCATCCCAGAGTCATACCTCAAGTCTTAATTTTGGGACAATTTCATACATCCGTTAGGTTTTCCGTTAGAATTTCTGTTAACTGATAATGTGGTGCCTACATGGACAATAAATGAGCGACACGTGTCAATATGGACCCACTTCAATATTAAAACATTTAAAAAAAATACAAAAACACAGAAAATAAAAAAAATCCCCACCCCACCCGTCTTTTACCTCCCCAACCCGATCAGTTAACTTTTTTGGGCATCCTGCCCTACCCTTCCCGACCCCCTCCCTCATTCTCCCTCCCTTCTCTTTTCTGCACCCATCCATCCTCTACCCAACCTGTTCACCCATCTACCTATCTACCCCGCTTCCTCATTTCTCATCGCCGTATTCGAAACCCCCGCTCCCTCACTTCTTTTCCCTCTCGAGTTGGTTGAAAACAACTCAAGCAAAAGGGTCTTGAAGCTGTGGCAGGCCACCCCGCCGCACAGATAGGTCGGCGTTATTGAAGGTCGGCCGCGGGTGGCGGTGGATCAACGAAGCCAGTAGCAGATTGCCATTTCGGAGATAGTGAATCGTAGTAGATAGATGGACTTGCCATCGAACCTTCATGGACATTGAATAAAATACAAATCAAACAACCTAGAAGAGATCTTCTCTTCCTTGTTTCTTCAACCCCAAAATTTACCCTTTTTTTCCTTCATTTCTTGTGAACTTTCTCTCTACTGCTGAAAGGCTGTAGCTAGAGACTTTTTTCCTTCATTCCTTCATTTCTTATTGCTGCGTTTGTGGTGGGGTTTGGTTTAGGGGAGTAGGCCCGCACTAAGAGAATTTTAGGTAGGAAACAGAAAGAGTTTGTCTTTTTTTATTTACATAGATTAGGTTGTTCTTGGGGTTTTTGTTGTTTTTCGATTTCGAATTTGGAAGATGGTAGATGGTGCAGAGGTTGGGTGGGTGCAGATGAGAGAAGAGGGGAGTAGGGTAGATGGGTGGGTGTGCAGGGAAGTGGGTGCAGGGAAGAGAAGGGAGGGAGAGGGAGAGGGAGGGAGAGGGAGGGAGGGAGTCGAGAAAGGTAGGGCAGGATGCCCAGAAAAGTTAATTTTTTTAATAATGGACATCCCAGTGGTCCTCAATTGTCCTCGTCTGCAAATTAATTTTCTAGGGTTTGGTGGGTTGGTGCAGAGGAGAGAATGGAGTAATAAGGGAGGAAGGAGGAGAGAAGGGAGGGTGGTGCAAGTTGTAGAAGAGATAAGGGATGTAAGGGGTGCGTGTTGCAGAAGAGAGAAGGGAGGGAGAGGTTGTGGGAGGATGAGGGAAGGAAAGGGTGCGGATGGTTGGGGGAGATAGAAAACGAGGCTTTTTTTTTTTTGAATTTTTCCTTTTTTTTAACACCTTCTCCACAAAAAAAAATATTCCACGCGGACCCTTAATGACACGTGGCTCCCAGTCATTGTCCACATATACGTCATATCATCAGTTAACGGCAGACTTAACAGTTTGACTAACGGATGTATGAGACTGTCCCAAAATTAACACTTTAGGTATGACTCTGGGACGAAAAAAACTTGATGTACTAAATGTTGAAAACCACAAAACATGAGGGTAGTAAACAGAGTTTAATCCTAAAAATTAAAAAGAACTTATGCATTAAACATGGAAGGAAAATTAGTTCAAAACTTACATTTGCATTGCCAATGTATTAAAAGGCCGAGGCGTGGGCGAGGCATCCAAAGGATAGCCCCGCCTAGGCGGGAGGCGAAGCCTCACGAGATTAATTTTTTTAAATATATATGTTTTAAATATTATACATATAATTGTATAAAAAATAATACTTTGTAAAATAAACATCTATTCTCAATTTTTCATTCAAATCCATAGTCATTCAAAAGATAATATCATCTAAATTCATCATTCAAATGTAATATCATCCAAATTCATCATTCAAAAGGTAATACAAAGAAAGAAATCAATCATTCATCCAAATCCTCTTCATCTAAATCAAAATACAAACATTTCAATGCATATTCTTCAATGCATAAATAATATATAAACAAAACTATATAATTAGGCCATATGAACATACTATATAAACTATATAATTAGGCATTTATATGTCTGGACTTCACACTTGCATAGGGACCGTGAAAGTATATGTCTTGACTTCTTATAATTATATGAACATACTATACAAACAATAATTAGGCCTTTATAGGGCCGTGACTTCACATTTTCACACTGGTGTAATTACTAATTAGGCATTTATATGTCTATAACCTACTAATGCACAACAGTTTTGTAATTTGTAGTTACACACAAACTATATAAAATCTATATATTATGCACAACAGTTTTGTAAGCACAGTAGGTCCCTCAAGTAATCATTC